CAAGCAGTGCTAAAGTTACGTGAACAAACAAATGGATATCAAACAAAGCAATCAAATCGTTTTATTAATAATCATTCATCACTTGATTATTTGAGTGAATCGGAAATTGATCTAATTGATTATCGGAATCGTATACCAATACATCGTTATCGACCAGCAAGTGCATTAGACAGTCGAATGCTATCTGCTATGGGTTCTGTTAAATCAACCAGGTAATTTTAGAAAATTTCTTTTTTTCATCTTTATGAATAGATAAAAGAAACAAAAATTTTGTTAATGGAAATGATAAAATTGTAATTTATTGATAAAAATTATAATAAAGAAAATTTCTAAAATTTAATATTGGAAATGATAAAATTCATTGATAAACGTAATATTTCAAAATACAGATTAGGATAGTTGAAATAGTTAAAATAACAAAAAAAAAAAATGAAAAAGATTTTTTATTGTCAGTAGAAATGATAAATTGTAACTTATTGATAATGGAAGTAGTAAAATTGCAATTTATTGATAAATATAATATTTTAATATTCGAAGTAGAATAGTTATAAGAATAGTTAAAATGAAGAAGAAAAAATTATTCTGCTAGAAATGATATGCAATTTATTGATAAAAATATGATAATATTTTAATAATATTACTGAAAAAATTCCAATAATAATTTATTGTTCGAGAAAAATATAATAATAATATTTTAATAAGAAATATGATAATATTTTTTTTAATACATATTCATATAATAAGTCAAGCAATAACTTTTAAACTGGATAACTCTAAATTAAATTATATTTCATTGTTGATAAAGTACATTTTCAAATATATTTAATAAAAAAACAAAGACATTTTCAAGCATAATTTACATACTGTAGCCATCTGTTTCAGTTATATTTTTCTTTTTACTGAATTTCAAATCCTATATTTTTAATATTTGTATCATTCAGTAAGCTTTTGAAGATTTTTCGTCATCGGAATTTTATATATCGTATTTTAAAAGAATATCAAACATGTAACATGTAGCGATATGAATGTTAACATCGAATCAAATGTCGATCTATAAATATTATTGTTATTTGAAAGCTAATGCTACGATTTTAATCTTATCAGTGAAACATTATCTTATTTGAGGTCTCCGATATCATCACGTTTTGATTCGTACTGTGATCCATATGGTAGTGATACAAGCAGTCAGGAACGTTCTGGATCAGTCACACCAATAATC